CCCGCGGGGGGGCGGGTGAGGGGGCGGCTCAAGTGCGCTGGTGTGCTGGCCGATCCCGGCGAGGGGAGAGAGCCAGCCGTCCTCCCGTGCCCGGACCCCGCCCTGTCTCGAGCCTCACGGCCGAGTGCCGGAGGGGGGGGGGGGAACCCGGAGGGCGGAAGTCAGGCCCTCACGGCTGCATGGCCGCCAGGGCAAGGCGCATCTCCTCGGCCGTGGGCCGGTCCAGGGGATCCTGGCTCCAGCCAGCCGACATGAGAGCCACCAGCTCGGTGATGGCGGCGACCGAGAATCCCGCACTCTGGAGGCTGCCCTCCAGGGTGCTGATACACGGGCGCTGGCCGGCGATGATGTGGCTGGCGATGGTGCCTTGCGGCTCGGTCTCCCATGGAACGGCCTTGGTGAAGAGCGACCACAACAGCACCGTAAAGGCATAGACATCCGACGGGAGGAGGACCTCGGTGGCAAGCACCGAGTGGGCCTGACTGGCGATCCAGATCTGCGGGAGCAGGGGGGGGGGGGGGGGGGACGGGGGCGAGGCCAGCCGGTGGGAGATGTGAGTGAGAGAGGCCGCCTGCGGCATGGATGTGTGTGTGTGTGGGACCAGCTCCATCGGGCAAAAGGGCGGGCAAAAGGGGCGGACGCGGCGGAGGAACACGGCAGGGACCCGCTGGTGGCCAGGGGCGCGCACCTCGGGCGAGGCAAAGGCCGCGGAAAAGGCATTGAAGTGCTCCTGCGCCAGGAGGACCGAGCTCTGCTGGTCCAGAGGCATGGACACGCCGAAATCGCCCACATACGGGGTCCAGAGGCCGGTGCCCGGGTCGAGGGACATCATGACATTGCCGGGCTTGATGTCGCGGTGGCCGATGTTCCGCTGGTGGATGGCCGCCAGGCCAGCAGCTAGGGGGCGAGGCGGCGGGGTCAAGGCGAGGCGGTGTGCGTGCGTGCGTGTGTGTGTGTGAGAGAGAGAGAGAGAGACAAGGAGAGAGGGGGAGGGGGAGGGAGTAGCAGGAGAAAGGGGACGAGAGTGGACGTACCAATGCCAGTTGCGATGGCCAGCTGCTGCTCCGGGGACAGGGGGATCTCGGCTCTGAGGAGCTCCTTGAGACAGGTGTCATAGAGGCGCATGGCGATCATTTGCGGGGCGTTGGCATAGCCAACCAGCTGCACGACGTTCGGGGCGCCATTGAGAGCCCTGCGGGATTGGCGATTCCAGGGCGTAGGGCGCGGGGGCGGGAGACGGGGGGGAAGGGGGGGGGGGGAGTTGTTGGCATGCGGGTGAGAGGAGGGCAGGAAGAGAGCGAGAGAGAAAAGTGTGTGGGGAAGGGGGGGGGGGGTGCAGGGACGGAGAGGGAGGGACAATGGGCGGCTGTGTGCGGGTGTTTGTGACGCGCCAGCCGCCAGCGCGCGCACACACGCCGGCAAACGGGAGACGGGAAACGGGAAGCGGCAAACGGGAAGAGGGTGGCGGGCGGCGCGAGCGAGGGGAACGCACCACATGATGGAAATCTCGCTTTCAAAGAGCGAGCGCATGCTTGGGGCGTCATCTGGCGTGGGGGGAGGAGGGGGAGAAGGCCGTGTGATCGGGCCGGGGGTCGTCAGTGAGGATGCCGGCTGGCGCGGCGCTCGACAGCCGGGCGGGAGGCTGCCAGATGGAGCACACCGGGCGGCGGGACGCGTGGGGCCGACGTACGGAGAACCAGCTTGACGGCCAGCTTGTCGGTGCCAAGCGAGGCGACCAGGTCCGGCCGGAGGAGGGTCGCCTGGACGATGCTTCCCTGGCCGCCCTTGCCGACGTGGTCGCCGAGGCGCAGGTCCACATCCGGCGTCAGGAGCAGGAATCCGGGCAGGGCGATTTCTGTGCGGCGGCAGGCGCGCCCCGGGTCAGTGGCGTGCGATGAAAGGGGGCTTGTGCCCGGGAAATGGGCCGGGCCGTCGACCCGGGGGGGTGGGGGCACGGGAGCAGGGCCAGAAGGCAACGTACCGATGGCGGTGTTGAGGACGGTCTTGTCCAGGTCTGTGTGCGGCGCGCGGCACGGGTGTCAGGAAAGGGGGCGGGCTGTCGCGTGGGCATTGACCAGCAGGAGGGTGAGAGGGCATGGGAACGCACCGTCGACCGCCTGGACGAGGGGAAGGGGCCCGGGAATGGGAGGCGCCGTGGCGCGAGGCAGGGGCGGGGGGGGAGGAGCAGGTGAGCAAGGTGACCGGGATGATGTGCCTGGCGAGGCGCCAGGCCTTGTAGCTTGAGGCGTGGCAGGGGGGGGGGAGCCCGCCTGCCCTCCCTCGTGAGTGGGACGCACCGCGGGAGCGCCCTTGGCCGAGGCCCGGCGTCGGAGGCACACAAGCAGCAGGACAATCGCAATCAGGATGATCAGAACCAGGGGGATGGTCACGGCCAGGGCAAGGGTGGTGGAGCGGCCGCGGGCGGCTGCATGCCCGGGAGCGCGGGTAAGAGAGTAAGGGGCAGGCGAGGGAGGTGAGGACGAGAGGACAAAAGGACAAAAGGAAAAAAAGGAAAGCAGGACAACAGGACAAGAAGGGAAACAGCGCCCATGGCATGGGCAGGACACAACATGCACAATGACGGCGCAAAGGACACAGCGGGCGCGGAGGAGGCCGGGGGGGAGGGGGGGGGGTCACGTACCGCGCTCGCCCTCCTCCGAGAGGAGGGTACAATCGCTGACCAGCGGCCCGGTGCAAGCGACGCAGTGCTCATGACAGCCGGAGCAGGAGTCGGTGCTCAGGTCGGCAAAGGTCCCGGTCGGGCAGGCGCCGACACACTGGCCCGAGGCCGGCAGCACGAGGAAGCCCGAGGCGCACCGAGAGCAGGCGAGCTTGTCCCCGGCCGCCGAGGGCGACGGCTCGCAGCGCTCGCACTGGGGCCCGCAGGCGTGGCACTCGCCGCGCTTGGCGTCGGTCCAGAAGCCGGTCGACGGGCAGGCCGACAGACAGGTGCCATCCAGCAGCAGCCGACCGGCCGGGCAGGACAAGCAACAGGTGCCGGGGTCATCGCAGGCGCATGCCCGGCAGCCGGCCGGGCAGGCCCGGCACACCAGCAGCCCATCGGCCCCGGGGCCGGAGCCGGAGCCGGAGCCGCTCGGGCCCGGGCCGGCCACCGACGAGGGGCCATCCCCCGGGTGGCGGTCCAGCACGGGGAAGAGCCCCTCGCGGCAGGTGGCCACGCACATGCCCTCCTGCAGGTACAGCCCCTCGGCGCATCGGGTGCACTGGGCCCCAGGGCCGAGGCAGGCCGTGCAGCCGGCCGCGCAGTCGGTGCACCGGCTGGGGCTGTGCTCCTGGAAGGACCCCTCCGGGCAGGTGGCCACACAGGCCCCCCGATGGAGGAGCCCATCCCCCAGGCAGACGGTGCAGGTGCTGGGGCTGCCGGCGCATGCGCGGCATCCACTCAGGCAGGAGACGCACGTGCCGCCGCCGCCGCCGCCGCCGTCGGCCGTGGCCGTGGCCGTGGCCGTGGCCGTGGCGGCAGGGGCCCCGGCCGCCAGGCCGACCCACCCCTCGGAACAGCGGTCCACGCACCGGCCATGCTGCAGCCACCGGGCCCCGGCGCAGGAGGTGCACTGGGCGAAGGCGCCGCACTGGGCGCAGTCCGCGTGGCAGGCGAAGCACTCGGTGCCGAAGGCAAAGCTGGCCGCCGGGCAGGCGGCCACGCAGCCGGCCCGCACGCCGTCCGACATGCGCAGCAGGCCGGCCTGGCACTCGAAGCAATCGCCGGGGTTCGGCCCGGAGCACACGGCGCACCCCTCGGCGCAGGGCTCACACTGGAGGGTGAAGGGCGAGGCGAAGTGCCCGGCCGGGCAGCCCCGCAGGCACACCTCCTGACCGCCGGCCATGGCGGCCGGGGCCCGGAAGAAGGACACATTGCACCGGGTGCAGGCCCCGGCGTCGGTGTCGGAGCAGTCCCGGCAGTTGGCCGGGCAGGGGACACACGTGCGGGTCCCCTCGTCCGGCCGGAAGCCCAGCCCGCACACCAGCTCACACCGGCCGGCCATGAGCCGGAGCCCGGCCCGGCAGCGCTGGCAGCTATTCGGCCCGGAGCACATCTCACACCCGTCGAGCGAGCAGCGCTGGCACACCCCGGTGCCCGGGGCCAGGTAGAAGCCGACCGAGCAATCGGCCCGGCAGGTGCCCTCCTCCAGGAGCCGGCCGCCGGAGCAGTCCCAGCAGTCGTGATCGGTCGGGCCGATGCACCGGCCGCAGGCCGCATCGCAAGCCTGGCACTGGCCGGTCTCCGGGTGGCGGAATTGCCGGGCCTCCGGGCAGCGGAAGTCGCACCGGCCCTGGAGCAGCTCGGTGCCGGGCTGCTGGCAGCTGGTGCACTCACTGGCCCCGGGCCCGGAGCACTGGCCGCAGCTCGGGTGGCAGGGCCGGCATTCGCTTCCGGCCGTGTAGTACCCGGCGGCCGGGCAGGCATCGAGGCAGGCCCCGCCGAGGGCCAGCCGGCCGGCCTGGCAGCTGGAGCACTGGCTGGCCGTTTCGCAAGTCCGGCAATTGGCGGCACACGGCCGGCAGGTGCCGGTGGCCCGGTCCAGCCACTGGCCCGTGGCGCAGGAGGTACACTCCCGGGCCCCGGGCCCATCGCAAGTCAGGCAGGTCTCATGGCAGGCCATGCATGTGCGCTGGCCGGTGGCCGGGTCCGGCGCGCTGGGCACATAGCCCCCCGGGCAGGCGGCCATGCAGGCCCCGAAGAAGAGCGCATAGCCGTCCGGGCAGCCGGTGCAGTGGTCCACCGTGGTGGCGCACGTCCGGCAGGGGGCCCGGCAGGGGGCACACCGGCCGGCGAGGGCCCCCTCGGCGGCCGGCACCAGCAGCCGCCCGGCCGGGCAGTCGGTGCAATCTTCGGACGTCGGCCCGACACAGGTGGCGCAGGACCCGGCGCAGGCGACACACTGCCCGGCATGGGGCCCGGTGCCGGGGTTCCAGCCGGCCGGGCAGGCGTCCAGGCACTGGCCCCCGTGGAGGACCCGGCCAGCCGGGCAGGCCAGGCAGCTGGCGGCCGACGGCCCGGCGCAGGTGGCGCACGAGGCGTCGCACGCCAGGCAGTGCCCGGCACTGGGGAAGAACCCGTCGGAGCAGGCCCCGACACATTGGCCGGCCTTCAGCAGCAGGGGCGCCCGGCAGGAGGTGCACTCGGCGGCCCCGGGCCCGGCACACTGGCCGCACGTGTCGTCGCATGGCAGGCAGTCCCGGCCACTGGCGCCGGCAAAGTACCCGGCGGAGCAGGAGGCCACGCAGGTGGTCCCCTGCAGGAGCCGGCCGGCCGGGCAGCCGGTGCAGGTCTGCCGCCCGGTGGCGCAGGTGGCGCAGTGGGCCAAGTCACAGGGCAGGCATTGGCCCTCGCTCGGGAAGAAGCCCCCGGAGCAGGCGGCCACACACCGGGCCACCTCCAGCAGCTGGCCGGCCGGGCAGGCGGTGCAGTTGCCGGCGCTGCCGCTGCAGGTCTTGCAG